GTCGAAAACCTAAATTTTTGAATTTGGAAACAAATAACCATAGGTGATATAGGTATATGTTAAATTGCTAATATTTGCAATTTATCCGATTTATATCAAGTTAACGCGTCTGCATCACAAATATTAATAATTTATCTGAATTATGATTTACAGTATAAATAAACAATTTTGTATAAATTGAATATTATAATGTAACTAATCAATTAACTGGTCGTATATTTTTTCTATTTTAAAAGTGATTATTGATCAATCTATAAATTATACATTTTCCGATTCTTGTATAATTATGTAAATATTTGGTATGTTTTAATTTCCAAATATTTGGAATGTGCCAATAATAATTGACTTGTGTTCTGGACTTTATGGACATGTGTTTTGTGGTATGTGTTTAAAAAATCGCTTAGTCCCAGATATTTTTTTTTACACTTGAACACTTTGTTAGTAGTGCAGCATATAGTAGATGACTAATCAGTTATTTATAACAATATAACATGTTGCATATATCAATATATCATACATAAATATACATATATAATTTGAAAAGCTATATGTATAAACTTTTGTTATTTTAGTTTCATAATTGAAACATCTGCGTGAGTATATACATATATGTGTTTAATACTTTAATACTCTAATGTAAATAACATAAATTAAAAGCACGAATCCATCAAATAATTATTTAAACTTTGTAGGATAATTCAAATTTAAATTTTATTTTTTTATTTTCACAAGTAATATACAATCTGTATCATTAATACAATAAGAATATGTGCTAAGAGTACATTCACAGGAAAAAATAATAATTTGATAAAAAGAGCCACCCATTGATGACACTTTCTATGGTTACTATAATTATTTACTGAATAAATTTAAAATTGCACTAAACTTGAGGAAACATTTTTATAAAAAATATCATTTTACCTATATACATTAATCTAGTATATTTTATATACTATATAGGTACATAACTGTTTTTATTAGAAATTCTTATACACCATGTCATACAGAGCCATGAAAAATCTATGAAGTATATATAAACACACCTAGACAACCGATGATACGTGTTGAATATACTTAGGTATTCCGACACCCAGAAATGATCTGGAATATTATATTATATTACCTATATATTTTTTTTACATACTTTCCATCGCCATATAGTTACGTGATACGTGGAAACGTGTATACAATACCTATAACGTTCAGTATATATATTATATAGGTATTATATTAGTTGTACAATAGAAAATAAAATTAAGCCTTAGGGAATTTGGACAATATTAAAATCTGTTTAGACCGTAATACAACATCAAACAAATTGGATTCTTTTGTTTTGCATCTTAAATTGTATACCATAGTTTTAAAATAATCGAAAAATATCCTGGGCCAGTGGAACACTACTACCTACACGACATTTATCTGGGGGCTGTCCGCCGTGTACCTACATCATCTCTAACATTATATACTTACAAAGGCGCGGTCTTTATAATATCCTATATATGCATTGATATTACACGTAGCGATGTAATGTATTAAGATGAAATGATCTATACCATTCTGCATTGTATGATGTTACCTACTAAATTTTATAATATAAATCGAAAATTTACTGTGCTATAAATTACATATATTGTTTTATAACGGTAGATAAATAATAAGTTATAAGAATGTGTGTAGTATTTATATTTATATGGGTTGTAGGAAGATACATTATATTAGTGTTCTAAAAAATATATACATGAAATTTATCACAACATAAATAAAATTATATTATTAATTTTCGTTGAATTATTTTTAAGAAAAAAACTGTTTCAAATGTTTTTATTTGTCTTTTAATCTTTTTAAAATCTATTATGTGTTTGACCTAAAATGCTATTGTTATATTTTAAATCAAAATTAATATGCAATTATTCTAATATAAACATAAAAATTAATTGACTCTTTAATCAAGTTAAATTCCACAATCACCTATAATAAATATATAACACATTAACACATATTATATTATTAGGGTAATAATATCAATTAAATTTGTAGTACATAGTTACAATATTTTTTATGACTTWATATTATTTTATATTATGAGCACAAATATACACAATTAACAATTACAGAGGCATTTCTTTATTTTTCGTGAGTATAAAACTCTTTATTAAAACTGCTAAAACTACAATTTAATTTTTTATATACAGATTATATATAATATACGTTGTTCGTATTACATTGTTATGAGAACGAAAAAACACTAATGCTCTAAACAGCTGAAAAATAGTTTTATTATACCTATATAATATATAAAAACGTATTGTCAATGAATTTGAGCATAATAAAATAAAAATASCATGATACATTTAAATAATAATTATTTATTTTAGAAGTTTATACCGTTACTTCACAAGTTCTAATATATATGTAGACATATGGTATTCAATACAGAGATTGGTATAGTCCTCTAATATACTTTTAAGTATTATTCTAACCATCTGTCTCATATCCGATTCGTATCCACAAACCTTCTTTTCAAAAAGTGCTCACGGAAAAAAACTCCATTATAAATGCAAGGTTATAGATGTTTTTACTTTAAAACTTAAGAATGTCATAAGTTCTCAACCGATTATGACATTTATTTTATTTATTTAATTGATTAATCTACACAAGCGATTATGGAATTAATCCCTTAAATCTCTATATTATACGTTTATAAATTATAATTTATTAGTATACTGTGGGCTGTAAATAAGAGTATTATATGTACGTACTATTAAAACATTAGTAGGCAACTAAAACCTGCTTAGCATATATACCTAATACGGTATAATTCAGTAATTCGACTATACTTAAAAGTTTGTTCGAAAAAAACTATTATAGGTAATTATTATTTTTAAAAATTACTTACCTACAGTACCTACTAATAGAGTTGAGTGTCATATATGCTACTAGTAAAATCATATATTGATTATAAACCACTGCGTAACTGCGTTTTTTTGATATTTATTTGTTAACCTGCTTAGCATATATACCTAATACGSTATAATTCAGTAATTCGACTATACTTAAAAGTTTGTTCGAAAAAAACTATTATAGGTAATTATTATTTTTAAAAATTACTTACCTACAGTACCTACTAATAGAGTTGAGTGTCATATATGCTACTAGTAAAATCATATATTGATTATAAACCACTGCGTAACTGCGTTTTTTTGATATTTATTTGTTTAAACCGTAGATCGATATGCCGATAACGTAATGTAGTATTTCTCTACGGGGGTCGCGACCACTCTGAAGGTTGTCGGTTATCGGTATATCCAGCATATAATATTTATAACAGAATATTATGGTCATTCGCTTCATAAATCATAATGGCCTTTTGTTTGGAGCATCTGGCTAGTCTGGCATCATCTATAGGTAATGTTCATTTTCTTACAGATTTGATTTTTATATATTACTATATTCGTTATTAGCCCGACTGAGTTTAATGTATCTGTTCTAATCAATTTTGTATAGGCGCTTCATTGTTTTTTCTTATATGTGTTTACGATGTACTCATAATCCAAGTGAAGTATATATCATACACCCTTTGATAACAATAAAAACCAGTAATTGGTTTTATGTTAGAATTTGTTTTATATATTTTATAATTATCTTATGTTCTTGTTTTCATATATTGTAATGTGTTTTAAAAAAAAAAAATGAATGTTCCCCAATAAAAGAATTGGACTAACCTGAAATGTCCATAACCAACCAGTATGGGTACGTGCATTCTTATGAAGTATATTAGGTACCTAACCAGGCACTCCGATTCCGAAGACTATAATACTTGAATATAACTGGGTATATATATTTTTAACCGTGACCTGTTTCGGAAAGCAATATCCAAGTGAACTCGATCTTCATGTCACCCTTGTTGTAAGTAAGGAGACGATTGTTATTCGGTCACGGCTATATAGGACTATAATYTATATGGTTTATTGTCCGGTGTTCTATAACGCTATCAGTCACGCCCATACAAAATGTCTTGAGAACAATAAAAAGAACTTAATACCTACACTACACTCGTTCAATTATTATAACTATATCTGGATTCTGGAGAGCATAAAAAACGAACTTTGATAGCTACCGGTATCTATAAATTCTACACACTCACTCTCTAGTCACTCGTCGTGCTCGTGCGCTATATACTGTTTTATAAATACCTGCAGGTAGCCAAGGTAGATCACAAATGCTGAATATTCATATAATTTTCGTCTTAGGCATATAAAGTATACGAATACTTATTACTTAATGTTTAAGTAAAATAGTTTAAAGGTAATATGATTAATACAGTTTGATGTTTTAAATATTGATTATAAGTTTTAGTTTTTAAACAGTTTCTAGAAAATATTAAAAGCGTGTTATACAAATTTTTACTAAAAATATATAGACCAATATACCTATTACCTATACTAGCATATACTGATGTAGTGATGTCTAATAATAGTATCCACTAACAACAATTTTATTGATATAATAGTGGTAATTGATAATATACCTGTATAAAAAATATTTGTTAAACATTGCAGGTCAAAGAAACCTTTTAAATACCTATCTTATATCTATACATGTAAAACGAATCCAACAGTTGTCAGAATTATAATTATACTTTTTCAATCAAAATAAATTATTATATACTTGTGAATACCCCCCCCCCTTTATCAAAAAATGAATAAATACAATTTTTTAATGAACGAATGTACCCTCAGTAGGTTTTATGGCTAAAAAGTTAAAATCATGACTATTTTAAATGTTAATATAGATCAATACAAAAAGCTTAACTTGCAGATGGTTCTTATAATCGTACAGCAATTAATGTACTTGAAATGTTAATTGAAGCTTACTCAAAATGTGTATACTGCAGCAGTAGTTTAAATACTCGCACTTGGTTCATAATAATAACACATCACTTGTGATGAAATATTTTCTCTACTCTAATTTAATAAGGTCAATATTTTGTTTCAGGTCCAATGAGCAAAAATAATATGACCGACTTCCAGCGGACTCGTAGCAAGGTGTGGTTTCCCAACTTAGACGATGACGATGAAGATATTCATCATTCGTGGCGCCGACAACCATCGTCGTCACCAGAAAGCAGACGTATATCGTCCGGCAGCCCAAGCAACGGTAGTCACAAGTCACAGGACTCCGGKTTTTCGGACTCCGAGAGTAGTCCCTTAGGATTGTCGAAAGCTTTACTGAAAGAAGACAAACAGCAGAAAAATACTAATGCATTTACCGACCAATTGCCAGACGGAGTGTTACCCGAAGCACTAGTTCCTAGAGTTCCTTCGCCTTGCGAACCTCAACCACAATCACCAAATCATTGCAATTGTTTTTTACCAGCTTGCGAATTGTCTAGAAAGTTCCGTTCGTTCGAGTACGTCGCCGTCGAGGAAACATCACCATTCAGACCGACGCCAAAAAAGTACGAGGAAGAACCACGCACGCCCAACCGGACGTGTTTTATCGTTGATGAATTGCCGAAAACCAGCGTAGTATTGTTGACGCCGAGTTCGGTGAAAAGTTTTGACGGTCACTTCGATCAGTCAGAAAATGTTACTGTTGTAGAAAACATTAAACAGGACTGCATCAAAAATAACGATTTGATTATCGATCCACCCACACCGTTTGTCGACCGTTTTAACGATGCAGACACTGTGAGTCTATGTGAATCCGACAGACCGGGCTCACCTGAGCATACGTCTACACCGAAATCAACCAAAAACAGATGTTGTACTCCCAGATTACATTATAGAAAAGATCTACAACTAAGAAAACCGAAACATTTAAAAGATAGCTTTAACAGGTTAATTTTTAATACCATAATCATAATACAATTARTCATTCGATAATTTATKTATACTATCTAGTCTCTAGAACTAGATAGTCTAAAATAGTAAAATGTGTATTGTAATATTGTATTGTGTAGAGTATATATAATTTAGTACAATACATGTAGCCCATATAGGGACACATAAATATACTATAAGATATTATGTATAGGTACTAAGGTACATTATATAATATATGRCGTTATTAAATTACATTTTTTAATATTTTTTTATTTCATTAATAACGTTTTTATATATAAGTATCTATAGGTACCTATTTCTTTGAATCTTAACTGAGGAAACTTTTAAATTACTTTTAAATTTTATATACTATGAATATTACTTAGTTAAAATTAGAAATACTAATTTTAAAATATACCTACGTTTATTATCATATTGTTTCCAGAATTGAACGTGAAAACGAAGTGCCTGTTGGACAGTGGCTTAATGAACTGAGATTTAGATGTGAACCGGAATGCATGACCACTTTACAATCGAAATCAATAGCAACTTCTGAGGATATGTGTCGTTTTTCTACAGTTATTTGCACCGATTCTGAAGTTGTGCGGGACCTTTATCAACGTACAAAATCCATATCTAATGAATTTATAAAAGTTTACAAGTAGGTGTTCTAATTAGTTTATTTATATGTACCTATTTTACATATAAAAATGTATTTATATTTTTCCTTCCTTAGTGATTTAAACAAATGTCCAGTTGATAATTTTGGATCATCTGTCCAAACATTAACTGGTATGTTGTTAGACTTTGTTTGTGATCACGAGAGTCAACTACCTGAGGATGGCCAAGAGTTGTGTATGGACTTGGTAGATGTTTCCGAGAAATTAAGAATCCATGCTAACCGACGTCTAGGCAACAGAAAGATTATTCTAAACGATGTGTCGGCATTAGGACAAATATTTAGCGAATTAATCGATGCTTTGTTGATGAAGAAAATACAGGTATTCATCGATAATGATAATTTATAGTTTTGAGGTTTGAATTATTTTCATCAAACAATAATTCATACTGTTTGGTTAAACTTTTAGTCTTTGGTGGACATATTGGAAGAACCAAGCACTGATATTGAGCTCGTTAAGACGATGTCCAGTATCAACAGCCTAGGGTTAGAAAGTGTTCATCTCGGTAGCTTGGTGACGAAGTGCAATGGTGTCCGATCTTTGTTGACTGTTTGTATAGAAGCAGCGTCTAGTGTAGTTAGATCAGCTGCATTGCGCACACTTGCCATGGTGTGTTGCTCGTCTGACAGCATCAGACAATTCGAAAAGGTATAGATAGGTATACCTATAACTAATACAATAACTATTGTATCATATATATATTGTATATATATATAATCAAAACCAATGTAAAATTAAATACCGATTACACATGTTGTGTGTAGTGTGTTGACCTATATATAGTAAATATTATTATACTGCATATTGTCATATTGAATACCACCTACGTATATAATATAATACAATAAGTAATGAACTAATATATGTACCTATTACCTATGTTTAATATAATTCTGTTAAACTTTTAGGCCGGAGGCGTGGAGATATTATCCGATGTATTGGGTGGTAAAAACCGCTCGGAAAAAGAACTCACCGACGCCGTGTCAGTGTTGGCTCAGATCACCGCTCCTTGGATCGAAGACAACCACGTCGTCAACGGGCTCAGCGAATACTTGGACACGATTATATCCTCTTTGACGTGTACGTCACCGGCTATACTTATTATACCTACTGTTTCGCGCCGTCGTGTGCCACCCKTGTAAATTATATGTGATTTGACCGATTTTCTTTTTTTTTTTTCATAACCATCAGACTTGGTGGAGACCACGCAGTCGTCGGAAACGCTGTTGCTGTCGTCCGCTGCGCTTGCCAACATCACGTTCATGGAACCGAACGCGATATGGACCATATTAAACATGGGCACCGCCGGATCGCTGATAGAAGCGGTACGGAAGAACGGCACCAAGTCGTCGGTGTTTTTGCAAGAGCAAACGGCCACGCTTTTGGCCAACATGGCAGCGGTCCCCGAGGCCAGACCACACATGGCGGCCAACCACGCGGTGGTCGCTTTGCTGTGTTTCCTGCAAGTCCGGCACTCGCCGTTGCAACGCGTTCCCGAGATATTGGCCGCGGAACGGCTACAGCACAAGACAGCCATCGCCTTGTCCAGGTACCTATTGTATTATTATTATTATACAGCACGCATGACGCACTCTTGATAATTCATCTCGACAAAATGACGTATATGTATACCTAGTAAATCCGACCAGATTCAATCTGTGAAAGGAAAACATCCAAATGCGTATTTAAATATTTAAATAACCTAAATATATATTATGCTAAATGGCTGTATACTTACATAGGTAAGTGCGCAGGTTAATGGTTATATACGYTGTTTGATATAGCATTAATTGCTTCCTGCGGAATATCGCGAGTTCGTGACGTCACTGAAATATATATTTAAGCTTTATAACTTATAATTTACTTTACATATTATATCAACATTCTGCAACGATCGTCTTTCATTGGTTAATTATTATATTAATTTATGATTGTAGACTGTGCAGTGACGTAGAAGTGTCGAAACAATTCGTGGAGCTCGAAGGCGTTAACCGTTTGATAAGGTTGTGCAAAGACGAACGAGAACGAAATCATAGTGACGGTGTTCTAGTAGCGTGCTTAGTGAGTATACCTCGCTATAGAAAGTTTCTTATTTATAATTTATATAACTTAAAATATGATTATAAATGCATACCTACTGGTCCTACTGTAATTTAAAGATTCCTTTTTTTATCGTGGTATCCAGTATCTACGTAAAACTGTTTAAGTGTACCGTACATTTACCAATATTCCATATATTGGAATATGTATACCTTCCCTATGTATACGTAAAAACGTCGAAGTATACCACACATAAGTACATAATCAATATTATATATTTTCAATTTTATAAGAAATAATAATGTCGTGACTCGTGATCAATGTCAATTATCAAAATTACTACTGCAATAATATGTCAAAAAAAACCTTTTTTGAATTTTGTTTTCTTCAAAATATCCATTCAGTAGGTACTTGAATCATATTGGTTCTCTAAATTTCATTATTTCGCACAGTCTTTAAACATAACTAAGAAAAAAACGGTCAGGTTAAACAAATATACTGTAATGCATTTGCTAATTATTATTTACATAATAATATTATAATAAAAATATAAAATTGTACTTGTGTTAGATTGATTAAAATGCTACAGCGTTCAGAATTATTCTGAATTTCTGATTAGTGTGTTGTATTTTTTAGTTTAAAAAATCAGAAAAATTGAAAGGATTCAAACTAAAAAAAAAAATATTAATTTTAACATAGATATGTTTTTGGGCTGGATACAACTTTGTTTTTAACGATTTTTGAGAGGCTGGTTTAAGTAACGCTTTGTTAAATACCATCGAAATCGTCGAATTGTCTGCGAATCGACAATAAAAATAATATATAAAAAATATTAAAAAATATTAAATTAATTGAATTTTTATAACCAAATGTAGTATGCTACTATAGATATTTTTTCACTGCACTAATCCAAAATCATATCTATGATTCCTCCATATTTTCCTTAATTCCTTGCAGAGGAAAAATATCTCTATTAGCATGCTATCTTATATTTTAATAATAACATTATAACATAACCTTATATTGCATTTAATATTCGATATGTTTAGTTAACATTTAAAATATGTATGTAGGTACTCGATTCAGATGCATCTCTCGATTTGAGTTTAGCATCAAAATTGTTTTAATCGTCAAAAGGACAATAGCGTAATTACGCTTCGCCGAAACATAATATACGGTTTAAAACAAATTGCAAAAAGTCGCTATACTGCATAAATACATTTATGCCGAAATGTCTAATATATAATTTTATAATATATACCGCGCAATGTGTTAAATCGTCATCAAGAATAATAATCCAATAAAACACAATCAAACAAAATAACGATGTGTATTTTTGATGACGATTACTAATTGTATAGAATATAGATACGTTTATGTTGAATTGCGTTATTTGAACTACCTATATATAATGTAGTAACTAGTAATGTAGCATGGCCTACCCGCGACTCGCGAGTGCATAATATGTGTTGTGTATATTTTTATAATATACAATATTATACCTATTGTGTTTTGTTTTGTTTAAAGGCTTCGCTGCGGAAAATCGCCGCAAATTGTGGCAAAGAAATAATGAACCAATACGACGCCGCAGAACTGATTGAACCGAGACTGTTAGACTCATTCCTTTTGTATTCATCGAAACAAGAGAGTTACGTTTAGATTTTTTAACTCTCGGCGAATAAATCAAATTTATTTGTATTATTATATTATATAATATACTAAATATAAAATATGTACCTACTTAATTTATGTATGTATACATATACTGATATACTTACATGATTATACAATATGATGTATTAATAACTGTATGTAATTGCATGATCCATCCAGATTTTTGAATTGTTTGAAAATTAATTTTTGACAAATTTTATTTGAAAATGATTTAATAMTGATTTTTCTTATTATTTCCCAATTTCCGGGGGGAGGGTTACAAACCCCTACCACCCTTCCTACTCCACTRACTGTATGCCTATACTATACAATATTAACCCGATATGAGTAGGTTGGTACAGCTCTCGTGCCATCGAATCCGAATGGGGGAGTACTGAATAATATAATTTGTTGAACGTAATAGAATACRATTTTTTTTAGTATGATATTATATGAAATAGGTATCTTCCTCTGAGGTAGGTGCCTATATTACTCTATCTAGTCCGAATCATGACAAGACGTGCCAACGTAGATAGTATTAATCAGGGCCTATCCTTTAGATACGATCGATGTGTGCGACGGCACAGGGGCGCCAAAATCAAGGGGGCGTGCGGTTGCCTATTTATATATTTAAAAACAGGGTAAAAGGCGCCGAAATAATACTTGCACTGAGCGCTGAAAAAGCTAGAGCCGGCCCTGATATTAATATTTGGAAGGTACTATAGGTATATATAGTAGCGTATATATTTTGTTCAAATAGGTCTGTAACTAGTACAATATTATATATTATTATGTATTTTTTTTTATTACCCATGTTTTTATATAAAGTGAATTTGATTTTAAGTTAATTACATTGCATTTGAAAATAACAAATACGGCGTAATAATTTTTTCTTTTTTTTATATACATATTAAATCTCTATATTATATTATATTATAATTTATAAGACATTGTAGCCTGTTTAGGTATAACTACGCGTTTTATCGTTTGTATTCATAATCCAACCGGAATGCWCCAGGCAAATATTATTCTCATTTTATTACCATTGTTAAAGATATTACTTTTGTGTTCTATGATGATAGATTTATTAAAAAATATATAATATACKATGTATTACATAAAGAACATACATACTATGTTAAATTAATACATATAATATTTATATATTAATGTTACCTGTATTTGCTTATATATTTATTTTTTTTATGACCCTATGATCTTTAAAAAATTTTTCTGAAAAATATCGTTATATCCRTTTACAAAATTGAACAACATACTCAACATCTTTTGAATGAATGAATGCGAAATAAACCGAATGGGCATTGATAACCATTTTTCATCAAGCTAAACTCAATATAAACAAATAAAACCGCACACTCCACAAGTGTATTATTAAGAATTTAAGATCAAGTGAGAAATATAGCAGTTGTGTTCGTTCTGATGTGTTGCAGTGTCTCAATAGTCAATTATAAAAGAAAATTTGGGACCTATTTATGTAGAAAAAAAAATACTGATTTCTAATATTCTGTTATAATTTGTGACCAATGGAAATCATTTATAACTTTATAAGCAAAACAAGATCAACTCTCTAAAATGCGAACTCTGGGAAATCCTTTCTTATTGCACCCCTCGGTGGTACTACGACGGTACCATAAAAAGTTAATTAAAAAGTCTCAAGCCATCATACGAGAGCTTAGGCTAAACCATGATCAGTCTATTCAGGACAAGTTCAATTTTTAACTCATATTATAACTTGCGTCCAGCATTAACAGTAAAATAAATCAGATACTTATGGGAAGGTACTACAATATAAATATAGTATAAAATATTATTGGTAATACAATCTGACAACGTTCATTCAATGCTCAAAATCATTTTTGGCAATTACTTATGAGTTGCCATTAAATTTATCATACCCAATATAGTAAATTACAGCAGTGATTCTCAGTCAGGATTACTTGGATCTAGTTTAAGGGGGTTACAGTCATTGACGAACAAATACAAATACAAGAATTTTTGAATAAAATAATATTAATGCAGCTACCATAATCGTTATACAGTATTGTATTGTTTACAACAAATGGCATAAAACTAAAGGGATTATTTTTGTCTTCTAAAATATATAGTTCAAATTATTTATCATTTTGATATTAGGAAGATGTGGTATTTGATTCTTATGGATAAGTGTGACATGAAACCTAAAAGATTGGTCCATTCATTTATATCCATCCATAATAGAATACAGAGGGTTTATTTTTATTGGAATCTAAAATGAGTTTTGCTAATATACTAGAATAAAAGCTGGAAACTGCATATGACGACTACTGAGTATAAGCTATAAACCTATAACAATATAGAATATAAGGGTATTAAACTCTTAAAAAGTTTGAGAGATGTTTACGATTCTGTGACAAACTTATAAAACTCTGTACAAAATTTAAATATTTTTTTACTTTAGTCAGTTTGTAGATCATTAAAAAAATTATATCAATGTATTATCAATATTTTTAAARWGGTATAAGTATTACACTTTTGTATCAAAATTCAATAAACATCAACAAGCACTATTTTCTAATGGATGTTCCATACCACTGGAGAAATAATTTTATTGCCTCAAGATTGTTTCGCTTCCTTATTTTCATGGCAATAMATATTATATACATGTATATTATGATATTATTATTTAATTCTCAGTAATTAGAAATTAAGATATAAGCTGAAGCATGCCCACCTAAACTAAAATATCCAGGTCACAGTAGTAAAAAAATGCAAGACATGGTTTACTGTAATACCAGCTAAGTGAACTATATAGTAACTAACTTTTAAATCCCTAATAAATTTAATTAATATTCAAATTTTTAAGTGGTTTATCGTCAATTGACAACATATTAATATGATTTTCAAGACATAAAAAATTATTGAAGTCTAAATATAGTTTTAAAATAATTTTTATTTCAGTTGAAAGTCATTAAAAATGATCAAGTTAGTCAAATAGACCGAAACCCATATCATCGTCTTCCTCTTCTTCACTTTCTACTTTTTCTTCTTTCTTTGCTTCTTTAGCTGGAGCTGCACTTTCTACAGGAGCTGCAACGGCTACAGCAAACTTAGATGGATCCTGAAATAAAATAAAATTAGTTATTTATATGTTTTCATCAATAATACCTATATAATTTTATTACTTTAAGGTACTCCTTGAAAGTTGTAGCTTCTTTGAATTCAATTTCAGTTTCAGCAGCAACTGCAACCAAGTTCTTKAAACCATTTATCAACATGTGAGGAGCAGACGCAATAGTTGGATAGCTGATTGCAAGACAAGCAGCTGTTACTTGTGAGGCCCCCTGTTAAAAATATAACAAATTTATTATAAATAAATATATTTTATATAAATATTCAGTGCATAATACAATTAAACAGATATAATGACATAAAATAAAAATGTTCACATAACATATTTACTAATAAAAATTTAAATTAATTTTAGTACCAATAATATTATAAAACATTAATAGGTAAAATTTTTTTTTTATAATCTATCAACAAAGATATCCATTTTAGTGTGTGGACAATACAGCTTGTATATTGTTGCTAATATTGTATATGCTAATGTTGTATAAGGTGACAATAAGGTTAACAATTTATACACCATTATTCTTAATCTAAGTAGAATAGAATTTAGGTTCTTTATAAYTTACAATTATTTTATTCAAATTAACTCAGATTTATAGTATCAACATAAAAATCTTCTGTCGGGAAAAGAAGACAAAATAAAAGTACATCATCATAATTAATTTTCATTCAAATAATTGTTTTAAGAGGAGTTACACACACATTTTATGTATCCATCTTACAAGTGCGTAACATAGCAAATTTACGCTTAGCCGATCACGTTTAACTGTATTAGTTTAAATATTTGAGTGAATCAAACAATTATGAAACTTGATGTTAAAAACATTATTTGTGTTTGTATGTGAGCTTTTTTACGATAGCTCTATATTATAGCAAGTTATGMGTATATATAAAAGTTTAAATTTTAAATGCTAATTACTTACATAAAATTAAGTTATCATAAAAAAATCCACATACAAACACAATATTATTAATCGATTCACTTAAATTTTTAGACTAATAGAGTTAAACGTGATCTGTTAAGTGTAAATTTGATATGATATAAATTTGTAAAACGAAAACAGCAAATAGTAGTTTAGTGTCCTATAAACTTAAAATTATAATCAAACATCTTAATCTATAGTATTAAGATAGGACACGAAGAAAAGCAGTGTGAAAGTGGCCAGGTTATTCACTTCAATATTGTATGCCATTCTAAATCAAGTAGTTAAAATATTTAAACATTATATTTTTATTTATTCTTTAGAATAATAACCCCGATAATAGGAATACAAAATGAATCATCATGACTGAATGACCATGGAAGAACAAAATAAAACGACGAGTTTATATTTCTGTATGGATAGTTGAAAACAAAAACAAAACACGAACAAATGTTTGAATTTTGTTCATGTTTTGTTTAATTTTTACTCTACTCAGTATGGACACATGTTTTATTTTTTTAATTTTTATTTTTTTYATGCATAAGAATACATAAAATATACACAAATAGTTGCGGTATTTTAATGAGAGGAAATTATAACTAAATTTAGACATTTAATTAATTATTATAAATATATTCTGAAGTTTTGAGATCAGATTAATGGTACTAATCGGTTATCGTGACTACCTTAATTAAAAAAAAAAAAATGAATTAAGTTATTAAAATTAAAATTATGCATCATCAACTATAAAATTCAAATTTAGAAATAAATAATTAACTTAAGGAAGAAAATKTTCAAACATACAATTTAAAATGCTTATTACTGGATAACCATGCTTTTGACATYACATGATTCAACCAACTTACTGTCATGAGCGTCATATGGGATAGCAAAGTTAATCCTAATGATCCTAAATTAATAGGTAGGTTGTTTTAACTCTACTAATAATGATTATTATCTATGAAAAAAACAAAATTGTGGCTCATCTTGCAATAACTAATTGAATGCTTTGTATAACTAATTGACAAACAATGCCACAATGGTAGTATTAATATTTATTTTTAATTATACTACGGCTTCTAAAAGACCGCTACTGGGCGCCGCCTAAATCTTGTCCGTTCCCAAGCCTTCTAACTACCAAACCTCACTCTACTCAAACTTATCATATTTGAACGCACCCCTAGATGAACCTTTTGATATTCTTAGGATGAGCTAGTCACTGGTTATCGGTTAAAAGGTTTAACTCAGTATTATGTAGTTCATCTGTTTTATAACCCCACCAACAGTCAAAGTAAATAGTTGTACATGGGTTTATATTGTTTTTTATTGCATGTTTAAGTGTAGATAGGGTAATAATTACAATAACTGATAAGTACTAATCTGATAATAAAGAATTAATTAATAACTTACATTATTTACCAATAATAAATGTGTTTGATTTATTATTAAAAACATTGAGGCACTTTACAAATTAACTCAGATTTTAATTATCAACATAATATCTTCTGACGGGAAAAGAAGACAAAAATAGTTAATAAGRAATCATCATCATTAACAATTGTTTTTTTTGTAAATTATAACTATCACACCTTGAGAGGATGTAGTGCCTGCATGATAAGTTACCTCAGTCTTAAATATTAAGTAAAATCAAATTGGAGTTTAACAAAACCAATATTTCAATTGTGTTTTTGGGTTATAAGTAATTGATAAATTATAACTTTGAAGTTAGAAAATTATCTTTGTTATTGAATTTACAGCCATAAAATTTAAGAAAACTTTGACAGTTAATAAATACTTAAATTCAGTTAAGTGTTTTATGAAACTTAAAAATAAAAATTGAACTCACTATTAAGAAAGTCTTCAACAAATCTTCTGGCTTGATATCTAAGATTTCAGGTGCAAAGATAGTTCCAGAATCATACACCATCTGTACGGCCAAACCATAATTGAATGGAGAAATATTCAACATGTTCAATAAGGTTGCTTCAGAAGCTCCTACTTTATCACCTTCTTTTAAAATATGGACATCATTCTAAACATTAAATAACTGATAAGTACAATAAATAAAATTTATTGCATGTGTAATATTATTCTTACAATGATTTCAATTGTTCCCTTAGAGATTTTGGTTGGAATAGACAAAGCCTGGAAGAAAGAAGTTTTTTCTGGTCCAAGGCCAGTGTTCTGGGCAGGAATTACAACAGGGCAAGGTGCAATAGCACCAGGACGAGCCGGAGCACGGACTTTGTTTTCCAAAAGCTTATCTCTGATCTCAACCAAATCACTGCGAGTGAAAACAAATCCTACATTTCCTCTAATATGAGGCATGATCCTAAAATAATTATATAAAAAAAGTTAATAAAATATTCTTATTAATGAAAAACATTATTAATTTTAAAATTATGTTATAGTAAATCAGACAGCCTAAAGGCATTTTTCATCAATAAAGACCAATCCACACCAATGGGTTCAGCCATTTCTGGCCTTGATGTGTTAACGATTGATCTTTTAAGTCAAAAATTTTTCATCACAATTACTATAACCATAAAAAAAATGAACAATCAAATTAATAAAACATACTAATAACAATACATTAAATTAACAGTTCTTAAAGTATGTAGGTTTCAGACTGCAATTTAAGCATTAAATTTCAATAAGCTTTGTCCGCATCAATGGGTTCAGCCATTTCTGGCTTTGATGCGTTAAGACTCTACTTATTCAATTATAATAATCATCATAAACAATATTTATTTAGTTATTTATATAAAATTGATAGTATTACTTTTCAAGAGATTGATTTCTGTCGATATGGCCTTTTATTGCCTTCCTCATCATTGTATTCTTGCCCATAAGTACGACAGCATTTCCACGAAGACTGATGCGAATTTGCTGCATCTGTTTTGAACCCACATTGTCGGCTCCCACAATGAAACATTTTGGGAACTCGTCAAGTAAACTCTAAAAGAATAAATAATTTACTTTAAATCAAGTTATTGATAAGTTGTTATTTAATACAATGTACAACATACCACCAACTTCACAAAATAGTTAGCTTTCCAAGTTGCTTTGTCCTCTCTACCCATCTTGTGGTGTAGAGATGTAAATACGTTTAAGAACTAAAAACCAAAATWATAAAATATAGTTAACTTCTAAGTAAACTTATAACCGGCAAAAAAATTCAAATTATCTAAGGTATGGGCAAGTACCCAATATTATAGGTTATGTTATGGTTACGACACGATTAATAAGACGTTTATACTTTCAACTTTAACCTCATAAATAAAAATCTAATAGGAAACTCAAAAATACCGTAAAGAAGTGATTATAATTAATAATTATTTCAACCGAAATCGATTTGAAACGAATACGAAAAATTTTGTGCATAAACCATGTGTATGAATGTCTTGAAATACTTGGAACAATTGGAATGTTTGAACGTTCAGCCACCGATTGCTCAGTTAGCAAAGAGAGTTRATCGAATTAAATCAAAATAATAGTTTAATTTAGTCTATATGGAAAAATCTTCAAAGTACTTACCAAAGCGCCACGCGTAATTTAAAAAATGGAATACGGAGGAATATTCCGTATGTCACGTTACGTCCTGAAAATGAGAACGTAATCGAGGCACGGATAYGTCTTGCCTGATGCCTCGTGTAACGAAAGATAGTGTAATGGTGGGAGRTGGGGTTGGACAACAAAATATCTCATGGAGTAAAAAAGACATTGTATATGATATGGAAAATACGGTCAAATATCATTAAATTAAGGCGCGTGTTTTTCAACAAAAACTAACGAATCTGAATTGAAAATTTAAAAAAATTATTATTTAACATTAGACTTTGGACTATACTGGAACATGAATTATGGAAACTTTCTGTCACTGACATTGCACAACTTTTTTATTTTTCATCAATTTASCTATTAAAAAAAAATTAAAATGTATTGATTTTACAATAACAAGTACCTACCTACTACCTATACTTAGTTACCACACCTTTAAGCATTGCTTAATTGTGGTTATGATAAAGACCTAAGATGTTACATTAAAATATTTATTCAATACATAATAATATTATTGTTGATTAAATATTCTTCAGAATTTCTTACAGAGTAGGTTATTTACATATACTGATATTATACTATACAATTACAGTAATTACACTGTTGTGTACAGATGTCAGTCAATCATATTATTCTATGGACATAATTAACCTCTCCTAAATTATATTCTTAAGATTCCTGGTTCTATAGTGGGTACACTTTTTTTAGATCAATAGGCATTGAGTAAAAATATGTATGATACAACTGCTAGATAATCAACGAATTTTTTGACTAAATGATTTTTTTTATAAATTTAGCTTTCATATCATATTCCTGAATTCTCTTTCATCATTTAAGTTTATTTAATTCATTGGTGAAGCATAATTGCTTAGTATACAATACTACTGCACAACCAGCTAATCCGCCTGTTGTCATTTGAGCATCGCTATTGTTAATTTTGACCTTTTTTGTAAGACAGTTGCGCATCGTTCGATTTTTGGGTTACATATCATYTGCTCATCAGCCGTTTAAAAGGTCTTACATCATTTGCGCATCAATATTATTTAACAATATAATTTAAAAAATAGGTGTATACCCAAAAGGGTCAGTTGTTTTCTAACTTTGATCATAAAATTCATACATCAACTTTGAAATATTGTACAGATATTTATATTTTAAAATATATAATAATATTATTATAAAGAAAAAGAATAGGTATTGTGATAATATTGTGTCAAGATTATCATTATAGTTATTATAGTTAGCAATAACATTACTAAGATGTACGGTTGACTAATAGATTTTTATCGCAAAGTACATCAAACGAGATAGGTATACTGAACACAGTGTCGAGACGTACGACGTAGGTAGACGTATTACCTAATTTTGACTTTTAAGTTTTGACTGCTTTTATTATATTTAAAAATGAGCCAATTCAAATTTGTTAATTCAAATCGTGAAAAAGCTGTCATCATTTTCCAAAATTATTTTTATACGGAACGAAAAACATTAAAAAGTTGTGAAATTATATTTATGTGTCAAAAAAAAAACTGTTATGCCTCAATAAAAATTGATGAACATCGAAGAACGGTGTTAGAAATACGTGGAGAACATACGCATATCAAATTAACGGATTCGGAGATAGAAAATCACGAAGTAAGTCAAATTAAGAATTGTAAATTAATTTTAATTTTTTTTATAAATAACTTTGTAAAAGCTAAATTGATTCGTAACAACTAACAAGAGTTAATAATATGCATGCACTTATACTCAGAGTAGGGAATCATTAAAATTGTATTTAGATATTATTTGATTCGAATAAAAAATAGTTCATATATAATAATATACATAATGTATTATTCACATAATTTTGTATGTAAGTACCTATACTTTCGAACCTTTCAGTTATTATATTATAAAAAAAATGTCATTAAGATATAGCACATTCGCGAAAACCCGATAGGTTATATATTAAATATTATAAGATTAGGACACATTATATATTGTACTGTATATGGAAAGAGGGCCGGAAAGTACGAGAAAGATAACTATTTAATTTATTTTTACAATACAATATAGTCGTAATACCTATATACTATAGAAAAACTTTTTTTAAAATTTTTTTTCAGATTAAAAACACTATAAAAAGAAAAGCTACAGAAGAAATATCAATGAGGCCTAACAAAATTATACGGAAAGTAATATCTGACACTGATCATGTAACGGTCAATGATATTTCCAATTATAGACAAAATATTTATGGAAAACGTAGGGAAGTTTTACCGGTGTTGCCGAAATCCTATGATGAAGCTATTTCACAATTAATGTCTTCCCAAGAAACACTTGTAAAGTTGTAACTTTCAAAAAAGAAAAATTTCTTTTTATAAATAACAATAAAATTGTGTTATTAACATTYGAAACAAATTTGAAAACTTTATGTGAAAATTCCGTACACATTCTGGCAGACGAGACGGGACCTTTAGATATTGTCCAAAATATTTTTATCAATTGTACGCACTATTCATATTTATAAAAACGGTCTATATTTACCCTTGGWTTATTATTTTTTAACCGGAAAAACTACAACTGGTTATATTAAAATGTGGCAATCTTTAACAAATACGTGTGAATCGACGAATTTGATATTCAACCCTAAAACAATCAGAGTAGATTTTGAAAGGAGTGCACATTTGGCAATTATATACCTACACTGTTTTCCAYTATGCGATATATACGGATGCAGATTTCATTTGGGGCAAGCTTGGTATAGGAAGCTCAACCAAGATTTTCCTTACCTCAGAAATGAATATAAAGCCAATACCGAAATCGGAAAATGGATTCAATATTTCTTTGGTTTATCTTTCATTTCCCCTGAAGAATTTTCTGATGTGTTTTGTGAATTAATCGAAATCGCACCAAATAGTGAYGTATTGAATTTTAGCGATTATATACTTGACAATTATATTCAAGAAAATTGTTTATTTCCTCCAGAGATGTGGGCAGAAAAACCATCAGATTTACCTAAAACTACAAATGGACCTGAGGCATTTCATTCTCATTATAATGCACAATTTTACACTTTTACAGTACTAATCCTTCAATATGGAAGGTATGAAATAGTTATTTTTATAAATTATAAATTATTAATTTAGTTAATTTAATATATTTTTGTTAAATATGTACTTATAATAGGTAATAGAAACGTTGAAAGAAATACAGACAGAGACCTATGTTAAAATTAAAGATATTTCTAGAGGTATTCATCATGTATATAGCGGGCACCAGAACGTCAAAAATAAGACTACCTACATTAATAAACATTGGCTTAACTGCTTAAGTATACTTCCGGTGAAATAAACAGGTTTAATTTTGTTAAAATAATGAGACATGCCTAAGTAGAATAGTTATGACCATAATGAATTTGAATTAAATTGTATACTAATATAATTTTGTTATTTCAATATAAGGTTTTAATGTGTAAAGTAAAACCATTTTATTTTCTACGCATGACCAAAGTGGTTTTTTATTTTCGCACGCCTCAAACGCTACACACAAAACGCGAGTCAAACTCAATTGTGATAGAATTACTGTAGGTATCTATGTCCTATGGTAAAAACTAAAAATAGAATAATACACAAAATTAAATTGAAATCATAAAGTTATCAGTAATACAAATTTGGCGCGTAAATTCTTATCAAATCAATCGGGTTTGTTACTATCCAGCCGAAAATTTTACGATTCCTGATAAAGCAATCCGATTGATTACCTCCCCTACAGCGGATTGAAAAACTGCTGTATTTAGGAACAAGTCCGAACAACTAATTCCAGCGGATTACCAATCAACCAATCTGCTGAGTTTYGGAACATTATCTATTAATTAATTAATTAATAATATTAAAATAATTAATATATAATTAATTAAAAATATTGATCTATTAATATATAATTAATTCAACATATTAATCTATTAATCTACGTTGTTACCAGTGCCAACATTTTAAAATTAAAACAAAACTTCATTTTTAACCTATATGCAGACATACAGTATCTACTATAATGCTGCAGACAGACAGTCGTATAAAAATGTGAAGGAAAATTTATATATTTTAATTAATTTAATTTWAATTTTTTGGTCGCAATTCGTATGTAACCTAAAAACACTCGGGCCGTAATTCAAAAGAAATTTATACAACGCGACACAACTTTAGTAGATACCCAATCAATTATAAAACTTGGGCCTTGAGTACTCAACTATCGAACAATTTAAAAATAGTGTTTTCAATAATTTGGAACTCAATATTCGGATGCATAGGCCGTGGCCCGTGACGTACCCGGAACTCTTCCACCGCGATGTTACTAGTACCTATATAAATAACCAAATAGGTACCTATTACTTGTATATATTATTGCCTTAAGCTTTTTAATAGGCGATGTTTCGATATATAATTATACTATATAAATATATAGGTAATACTGGTAATATATAAGGTAGTGTCACTTATACCTATTGAAGTGAATAATTGACACCACCTTATCTGAACAACTTTTTTCCACAGATGACCAAGACGAATGTKAAGGAAGWMGAATGCGAACGGCACTTATAGTCATGTATTATGGGTCACTGTATTGGATGCGGATAAATGTATTATTTATATTTATTCACGAAACCAGTAAAAAACCTTTTTTTATTTTAACTTAGCCCCTCCCCTACCCTTTCATAAATCATAACTCTGTCTATAAAATAATATACCACATGGGATCATTGGGTCCATTCATAAATCATAGTACAACTGTACAAGAATATGATATGACATTTGATTAAGGATTTAAGCCCATGGGTCCATGGACGTCGTCTTCATCGCCAAGATGTAGCTATTAAAGTAATATTTATAATAAGAATTCGTAGAATATATAACATTATAATATTTGAGAATCAGTATCTCAATGGCTTAATTCTTTTAATACCTAGTAATTACGTGGTCGTCGACTGTCAACTCTTCAATTTACATTTGACAAGTTGTGATTTTGTGATAATGAAATATTTCTTTATCCGACTAACAACTTTTTTTTATCAATATTATCAATTTGTTTTGTGTTAATACAAAATTAGTATCATATGAAAAATTGAAAACTATAATTTTATGTTTTGGAAATACCTATCATAGTTCACAATTCTTGATCATTTAACTCCAAGACTTGAAAAGTTGAAAGTTATTTATACAACATAACAATAAGTATTGTGTGTACACCGTWTGGTATTACAACCTATTTTTTAAAATTCAATTATGATCATAACATTTTTTTGAACCGCATAAAAATTAATTTGCAGTGTTTATATTATATACCACGTACTCCACAAAGTGTTTCATATACTAATGTTTAGGTGCTGTTGTTTTGTATAAATACACACATAATTGAAACGAACTATGGCACCCAAAACGTCATCGGCTACACTTCGTCTGAAACAAGACTACTTACGACTAAAAAATGATCCAGTGCCGTATGTWATTGCTGAGCCAAATCCGTCAAATATATTAGAATGGTATGTGTGCAGCAGTTAATAATAACCTAATCATTTAATGAATGTGATCTGTATGTCATTCAGGTATTATGTAGTTAGTGGACCTGTCGATTCGCCTTATGCTGGTGGTTATTATTTGGGAAGGCTAGTTTTCCCAAGAGATTTTCCATTTAAGCCGCCCAGCATTTACATGATTACCCCAAACGGTAGGTTTAAAACTAACACCCGTCTGTGTTTGTCCATAAGTGATTACCATCCAGATACATGGAATCCAGCATGGAGCGTATCAACTATACTGACTGGATTACTGAGCTTTATGGTAATTACATAAATTATCTATTTGTTCAAAAAAAACATGTTCTCATGACATACTTGCATATTTTAATTTAGCTAGAGAATAGCCCTACAATGGGTAGTATAGAAATGACTGATTACGAGAGACGTCAATTAGCTGCTCAAAGCTTAGAGTCAAATGTTCGTGATGAAAATTTCTGTGAACTATTTCCTGAACTTACCATGGTAACATTTACAAATATGTCCATCAAGCAGCCTGTTGCACAGCCTCGCGCTTTGAAGTGTATGTTATTCAAGTTCATATGCTGATCAGTAATAAAACTAATACATGTTTTTTATGAACTCTAATAATGTAAACTCAAATATGCACTTGTGATTCGCGAGGTTGTAAGACAGCCCTAAGTTTCTTGTTATTACTAATTGTTATTGGTTACTTATAGACAATACAAAATGAAATTGAAAAACGAAATTTGGCTAGAGCTAATGAAGAGCATTCACCAAGCATGGATAGTAGTCAACCTGAAAATAATATTCTTCATTCTGTTGTTTACAACAGTGTAGTAATGGTCGGCTTTGCACTATTCATTTACTTAGTCAGATATGTTCTATATAACATGAATATTGAATGAAATTTCCTACTCATTCCCTTTAATTTTAATTTATTAACTAAAATTTATTTTTCAAATAAAATGTTATAGTTGTAGTCATATATATGAATATATTAATTATACCATTGATTAATTACTTAATCAATGATTATACATTGAAAACAACTGGTTATAATGATTATTTATCTAACTGACTGTTGCAATCTTTTTTATATATAATTTAAGTTTCTGAGATTAACTGAGGTCTAAGGTATTACACGTTAGATTTTTWTATATATATATACAAGATGGTATAAAAAAAATTACAATCATTGAAAAGTACTGTCATCTAGTAAATATAATTTGTATATTGTAATATTTCTAGTACTGTTTAGTTATCCTAAAAATGATTGGTCTATTAATTTATATTTTTCCGTTACATTTTGMAATTGGTCAAATAATATTAATTTAATATAAATGATAAATATTAATAATATTATGAACACATGTTGTATATATTGAAATTGTTTTTACTATAAATTAATTATTGTTATTACCTTTGATTTTATAATATTATAAATTCATTGTTATTACCTAAATTTTTTTTTTGTATTTTATCAACATATTTAAGTGTTTAGGATAATTATTTGGTTACTAGTTTTTTAATGTCTCTTGGAAATATGTATGATGYATATAATTATTGGTTTTGTTGTTGATTTTTTTAAAGATAATTTTCTTGTTTACTGAAACACTTAGTATTTACATAGGTACTATAATTTATCTCAACTGAATTAAWAATTGTTGCAAAAATGGCCCTCTATATTTATGTAAGCATATATTTTTTTAAAATTGAACTACATGCCATTATTAAAAATAATATACCACGTTATAGTAGTATATATGCATGTAACTTAAGCTATAGCATAACTTTATTTTTTTATTTAATGAAGTTTAGTTATTTCATTTATTCAGTAAGTATTTTTTTCAAATAAAATATTTTAACTCCTTTTTCCTTTTAGTGACAAAATTTCAAATATTTTTTATTAATAATTACAATAAGTATAAWAAAATAAAGACCTTTTTATATAATACATTATATTACATAAATTATTATTAATTATTACGCAGACAAAACAAATATATAATATAATTTATACATTATATTGTAAATAAACATCTTATTTCTAGTGGATATCAAATAAGTGAGTTATAATTTACAGATATTATCACTTAAAAATTACAATGAAAATCAAWTGTTGGAAGTATATTTTTGTTGTATGTCATTATCCATAATTTAATTTCACATTATGGATAAATGGTATTCAACTTTGAGGCTCCGGAAAAAAATTTGACAAAAAAATACAAGTATTCTAATTAAAAATCATGTCACATATACCATTTATATCTAATGTTTTGCCATATTATATTTGAAAATGTCAAATTACACACTCCAATACTCCATACTTAACTAATTATCTTCACATTTCTAAATCCACTAAAATAACGTCTAACATCAATCAGAAATTGATATAAATCAAAGTAATAAGCATCTACTAATAAATATATAGAATATTCCTTATATTTGTTGATATGGAATGTGTTAGTCAATATAAAAGTGTATAAACTGCAAGATAAAAATATAAATTGCATGTATACTGTAATAGGATAATAACATAATATTATTAAAACATATTAATATACTTATATTAGTACCTGTATAGTTATCATCATCGGTCACAATAATTTAATAATTATTACTATATATTTTGTTTGTTACATTCCATACCAGTGGTGCTATAAGAATAACAGTTTTATAAATAATTMAAAATAKAATAGGATAATAAGTACATTATTTAAAACTAAATTTATTTTCTTTCCTAATTAGTTTAGGACTTTATATAATATTAAAATAGTTCATAACGAACCACATATTTTTGTTTGTCAAATTCCCTTTAAAATTTATCAAAATTAAAGATTGAATTTTTTTTTTAGATTTGGGGGGTGCCCAGACACAATTATTATTATAATATATATTAATTATATAAAAGTAATTTATACCACTAGGCCCATAAGTCAAAATCAATATAAAATTTATATAAATAATAACTAAAGAAATTTGTATTCTTCTATTTAAATTAAATATGACATATTTTGAACATTAAGATTTCATTGTTCCATAACATTGTTTTCAATGGACATTTGGACTCTAAATCATTAAGTATTTCAATGTCTGTAGAAAAAAAATAATAAAATAAATATATATAAATAAAATAAAATATATAAAAATTAAAAACCATGTTAAATGACTACAACTAACCGTTAGTAATGATATATTTATTAATAGTTTCCACAAAGACTGTAGAAGGCAATACGAAATGAATAATGCCCATGTTTAATTTTCCAACAGTAAGACCTAACAGTTTTTTGTCAATTGAAAATACTGGACCGCCACTGAACCCTGCACGTATATTACAAGTGGTCGTCAATAAGCTATATAAAATTTTGTGCATGTGACCAAAAACTGTAGATGGTACATATTCTCGACAAGAGTATCCGACTGAAAATATTTTTTGACCTGTAAAATAACAATTATATTAACCTAAGATTTATTGTTCAATATAACAATGGTCTTACRTATAGTTGGGGTTTTGTTTGATATCTGACAAGGTAAAATGTCGGTAGTTTGTTTAGTTTGTTCTGTTATAATTACAGCGATATCATATGGTACAGCCTTACGATTAACATATATAACTCTACCTTTAATTGCACGACCACCATAACGTAGTATTACCGATTGGATTTTCTAACAAAAAATAGGAWTTCAGAAATGTATCAAAAATGAACAACCACTTAATGGTCCTACAAACATGGTCTACAACATGAGCACAGGTGAGRAACAGGTGTCTGACGACACCWTCAGACATATGAACACAAACTGCCGTACCCTCGTTTTGACCACATTCAATTTTGACCACAGAACGCAAGTACGAGTATTGTTCATTATTTTCTCCTCCTGCAATACACATTTAAGTACATTGTGGATACTTAAATTTCAAAGTTTTCAATTAATGCTTTAAGGGAGTAATATGATTTTACCTATGCCATCATTTTTGGTAATATCATTGCACATGTTCATAYTTATTATGATAATTTTATTATCTGATAAGTTAATTAAAACATCAACAATAGAACTCCATAGGTACCTGTAGCCAAAATTTAAGAAATTATAGCGTAAAGTATTTAAAAAAAATTAATTTAATTTAATTTAATTGAAATTTCATCTATAAATTATTTAATTGTGGGTTCAACAAGCCTTTAGCCTAGTGGTTGTCAAATGTTTTTTTTTTTTTAAAGAAGGGGATGAGAACGCAGGTTGATTTTTTAACACGCCTTTAATCATTAAAAATATAATTTAAACTTAAGAAAATAAGAACAATTTAATTTAAACTTTACTATGAAGACTGGATTAGTAGAATATTATAATCAATAGTTATTTCTTGCATTAATACGTGAATATTCTAGTCTTTACGCTTCACTGCTTCAGGGTTTTTAATGTTTTTATTTTTTATAGATAATGACTATGACTAACTTTATTGAGATGATAATCAGAAGAACATTTTATTTTGTAATCAAAAAGATGTTAAGTGGGTAACTGACAACTTGTCTGCTATACAGTTGTAACTTGTAGATGTCGAATGGGAACCATAAAATCCAGATTTCAAAATCCAATTTTTAGAAAAAAACGCAAGAATGTAGATTGATCTATTCTTTAATTACAAAAAATAACATAACAGAATTCGAAACAGCTTTAATATAAAACCCTGGAAAATATTTGAATAGAAAATAAAACGAACGAAAATAAATACTACAAAATGTAAACACTGTAAACTGATAAGAATGTATATCAGTAGATTCATGGCTAAATATCATAGACATATAAATATAAATATTTATATGTCTATGCTAAATATATATAGATATTTATATATAATATCCTAAGGCCATGGCCCATGAGTACCGAATAGAACCATTGAATTCAATGGTAGAATGTAAAATCCAGAAAATAGACAATAGTATAATATGTATATATTGCAAAAATTCTGATGGTTGTATAATTTCCACAGATATATACTAATATTTAGTATTAGTATAATATATCTGTGATAATTTCAGAGTTGAATTTAATAGAACACAATTTATAGAATGTTATAAATTTATAATGCAAAAAATATGTCTGAATTAAATATTTTCCATGAAAATAATTTACCTGACTATTATAGGTATTGATTAGAAAATATGTTTACAGAAAAATATTCAATTTTTTTTATTGCTAATTAAAATGCGTGGTAAATGGTAATACCTATCTGCAGTGGCGAGGCAAGCTATTTTAACACAAGGAGCAAAGATTTTGTTATATTGAAAAAGATATATATACATCCAATATTTTATCAAATACACAAAAAATCAGATTATCTTGTTGCTTATTTATATTATAGTAGGACATAGCACATAGGTAGGGGTACATCATTACTTCTAGTATATGCATATATGATCAATTGTAATACACACCAACCCAAAATTTGGAGGAGCGGTCGCTCCTCTAGACCCCCTTCACCGCGCCACAGGTATTACYTGTATTTTATATGTAATATAATATTATGTTGATACCTACGACCTATTTAATCATTTTTTATACCCATCACAATCATTATAATTTATTTATTATTATTTTCTAAATGCTATTAATATAATATTAATTTTACATTTTTTGAAAGTCACTAAACAAGTAGGTAGTAGCTAGGTACCTACCTACTTAATCAATTGTAACAACAACAAAATGAAGGAAAAATATATAAATATAAATAATCTGTATTACTCTCTATTCATATTAGTGCTGGAAAATGATAGCAGTACAAATAATCGCAATTAATATAAAATATTATATTACATGCYTTACTTGACTCGCAGCTGCATTAAGTCTATGCTGAAGAAGTAGGTACCAGGAAACCCAACGTAAGAGGTAACTACTAACTATATTACTCAAAAAACTCGAATCAAAAAAATAATTAAACGCCCTGACTAATGGCTATAGCTCGTCATAAGGATGAGTGCAATTTTCGCTCGCAGGATTCGGTATTGGGATTTGGGAGGTTGTTACTGCTGTGGCTGGTGCTCATGGACTCCTTAAAAGGATGACACGGACATGCTGACCTGAGATAGACAGATCGTCTGTACTGAAGGTTTCTTTACGCACTACACAGCCGAGAAGTAGATTTCTCCTCGTCGACAAAGACCTTTTCTCTCGCGGCATATAAGAAAGTCTTACGTCCTACACTGGGGATATAATAAATTAATAAAATGTCTATATATAAACATATATACATTATAATAAAAAAATCTGCATGAAGACTACCCTATCAGAAAATTTCCCAATTTCCCAACATGCTAATCTGCCTTTAGACAGTATTATTGTAATTTATATATGATGATAGGTATATCGGTATATGAAACTTAAACATGTAAACATTGTTACATACCTTATAAATTAATACATGTATAGAAGGTATAACATTGCACACGTTTCGAATAGTGTGGTGACGTAATTAATTAGAAAATTACTTTAAAAATCAAATTGAAGTATTTGCAAAGAGCGTAGTGAACACAGTATTAAAATAATCAGCCTATAAAAGTGTTATCATATGTCACATTTATAAAATGTCTCAATATCTACGAGAAAGGATACGAATCGAATAGAATATTAAATTGTTATGAGGTTCGAGTTCCACACTTCCACCTYGYATTGCAGGAATGTCACCACCACTCGTAAGGATGAGAGCGCATACAGTGGTGTACTAACGGGGAGGGGTACACACTCCCCCAAAATTTTTAAAATRCATTTTTTYATTTTAAGAAAACTAAAATACGGTAACATGTCGATTGAAAATAATAACACGAATCAAAATTAGTAGTATATTAAAATGTGTAGGTTTTTTTGGTGTCAGGTCGTCTAATATGAAAAAATAATTAAACCCCCCTTTTTGAAATTCAGGTCTAAGTACACCACTGCAGAGAGCATAATATTATAATAAAAGGGAGCTCGTCAGACCGTTAGAAAATAGGGATACGCAAGAAACTTGAAGGCAGGTGTCTTAAAATCACTCGCAGTCTTAAAGCTGTTATCACCTATATGTTTTTTAGTCAGGTCGTAGCACTAAGGTAGTTCACAACTCTATCTTGTAGTTTACTATTGTATTTTTGTATTAATTACATGGCTAAATAGCTATTTAGGCATGATTAATTATATGTTAAATAAATAAACAAACATAATGTATACCATACCTACCTAAATACATTACATCTTCATTCAGTAGCGTTCACAAGATTTTAGTTCGGGTAGGGTTTTCAGTATAGCTTGATCAGAGACCCGTGAGAGCTTAGCCCCCCATACCCCCAAAACTATAGGTGAACTAGAAATTTCGGGGGGTTATAACCCTGAACCCTACCCCTGCGTACGCCACTGTCTTCATTCCTGAGTTGATGCATACGTGGACACAAGTTGGGACGTATCAATATCATACGGCTGCATCYGAGTTGGGTCCCAAATTTAAAATTGCTACACTAGTTGGGTCCCGAATTATTTTAGGTACTACACTAGTTGGGTCCCTGATTTTTGTAGGTACTACACTGCTAGTTCGGTCCCGGATTTTTATAGGTACTACACTAGTTTGGTCCTGAATTATTTTAGCTACAACATTAGTTCTTGAATATTTTTTGGTAAGTACTACACTATACTAACATTTTCCTTCCCATTTTAACAGACTTAGGACTGTCTATAATTTATTTAGAYCACAGGTATSGTTAAAAACCTAATCTAACATTTTTAATATTTTTTTACTTACACCTATATAGCATTATGGCTATATTTATATTATATAATATGTATTTTTATACTTGGTTTTTAACATTTTTAATATTTTTACCAACACAAAAGTGATTTATTTTTCATAAAATTCTTCTAACTTCTTTAATGGAAAAGAAACAAAAAAAAAAAAATACTGTAAAAAACAATTTTAACCATACCTGTGGTGTAAATGGATCATAGACAGTCCTAAGTCTGTTAAAATGGGAAGGAAAATGTTAGTATAGTTATTTACCAAAAAATATCCAAGAACTAATGTTGTAGCTAAAATAATTCAGGACCCAACTAGTGTAGTAACTATAAAAATTGGGAACCGAACTAGTGTAGTATCTATTAAAATCCGGGACCAAACTAGTGTAGTACCTATAAAAATAATCCGGGACCCAACTAGTATAGTACCTACAAAAATCCGGGACCCAACTAGTGTAGTACCTGCAATTCACCCCCAGTACTCGGGACCCAACTCGGATGCGCCGTATCATACACATAGACACATAGTTACAAGTACTTACAATTGTCAACGGTCGTGAATAATTTATCATCGAAACATAATACATTTTTTTTTTTTTTAAATAAAATCATAATATAAATATACATAGGATAAAAATGAATACGCATAGATTATAGATCAAAATTTTAATTTAAAACAATAACATCAAGAATACATAAATAATAAAAATGTAATATTACTTTAATCCACGATTATAAACAAGTAGGTAGGTAAAGTGTAAATAATTCTCGAATAGGTAATATGATCAATATATTCAATAGATAAAAATTACTGAAACATGATCATGTATGTGATGCAATGCTACATTTTTTAAGATGCATTAAGGATCTATAAAGGAACTTACCAAATTAGGAATTATTAAAAGTAAACATAGATACATAAACAGTAGTGAGTAAAAAAAATACAAAAAAAAATAATAAAAAATACACCTCGATGAAAAAGCCCATGTAAAAATGTAAAATAGAGCTTTACAGTACTACCTATACTATAATATTTTATAATTACAAATATACAATATTCAAGCATGCATATATTATSCAATAAAATAATGATTACATTTTTCAACAACTATATTTGAAGCTATACTATAAATTCGCTAGGCTAAACAGGTTTAAGATTACCCCACATTATCCAGTACTGGAATAATGAACCATACGTATAAGTGATATGGTGTAAAAATATTCCGGTGAGTTTTTTCAAACCGGTTTAGTATAGCGAATTTGTTAATAATCAGAGATCTTCATTTTCATGATTGATTAGTTAAATATAAATATTTAAAAAGTAAAAAAAGATGAAAATTCAAATTTTTTTGAATTTCATATGTTTTACAATTGTTTTACAAARTGTACATTAGTCATAAGTATACAGTTATTTATTATCGAATATCAAAATAAATAATTGAATTTTATCATCTAAATATTGATAAAAATGTGGAAATATTTACTGGTTTGAGTAAAGCAGTTGTTCCCAACTCAACACTAGGCACGTACCACTTTGTAAAATTTCTGTCACGAACCACTACTTATTTATAATAAACCTTAACTTCCTATACTATTCACGGACCACCAGTAGGGAAAAATTGGAGTAACGTAAGGTTTAATAAATTTAAATTGTTAGGTACTCATTTATATAGCTGTTTGTTGTAAATATAACTCAAAAATATGTGAATTTGTAAAATGTATTAAGTTGTTTTAAACCAAGAATTTATAACAAAAAGTCAATTAAAATCAAATATTAAAACGATTATGGGTTTTATGTAATTTTTTAGAGTGGGACCTTTAACCTTTGATTTTTAAATAAATTCATCAAAATAGTTAACATGCACTTGAAATAGAAAATAACATTTTGTGTGGCTGAAAACCAGCATAGGTTGTGAATTAAACATTTGAGATAAGTTCCTATCTAGTAAGTGAACATTAATTAATAATATATATATTTATAATTAATGATAAGATATAGCTACTGGCTGTTGCACTACAAACATGATTTTTAGATCTTAACAATAAATAATGTGGTATTTAATTTTTGTTTTATACAAATAAGAATTAAGAACTTAGASTATAGTACTATACCAGTATACCACTGTCCATGAGAAATCCATGAGCATAACAGTATACTCTAAAAGTTTTTTGATTTAAGATGGTAATTAGATAGTTAATATTTGATTATACAACAATAATATATTTTAATTATTATGCTCGTAAGTCTGAAAGCAGTCTTAAGCATAACAATTATTTTGGAATAAAATAAATAATATAAACAACTATAATTGGATTTGACACTAAATGATAATTGTTCTAAACATATACGTAACCCTGGAATGTATTAAAAAATTTGGAAGATCTTTAATATGTCTATATATAGTAGAAATAAAAATATATTTATAATAATAATAAAAGTTAAAATTAATTTAATAAATTGTATATAAATAAAACTATAATTATTAATGTAACATATTATTTTAAACGTGAGTTTGTTAAAATGTTCCAAACTTCCAAGTTGAATTGTATTATTCAGTTTTCATATTTAACACTATGTTTATCATTAATAAAAAAAAATATATATAATAAATTAATTTTTGAGTGATATCAAACTATGTGTATGTGTATGGAAATCACCACTTAAACGAGAGTGGTTATATATCATATACATATACATATCATATTTTCTGAATATGTTTTAAAGAAAATATTATTCATGGCTAAGGTTGTCAACATGAAAAAATGATATAGGCCGCTTAATGTAATATAAATACGATAAATGCAATTTCAATAGCGACAGCATAGCTTGTATAGTATAGCTATATTGCTTATTTTTATTCATCAAACAGTGTGTCATCTTCTAGAGCAGCTTTTAAAAATAAAATCAATTATTAAAATGATATGAATATCAGATAAATGTAACATAAATTAGGAAAAACAAGATTATTTTTTTAACAAGAARCAAATAGCAATAATAAAATTGGTGTATTTACCATTTTTGTTTTGTGTAATGACTTTATCCAGTTCATTTCTAAGTGTTTGAACATTATATTGATATCTAGAAATGCCTCTTAATTCTTGTCTTTCAAAAGTGGGACTAGGCTCTGGAGTTTTGCAATGCATTGATAACATATCAGGTGAACTTTTTTGTCTGAAATTGATTTTTGATCATAATTGACTACARTGGCGCAAATGKGGGGGGCTTAGGGGGAACAAATTTCGGTTAAGTCCTCCAGTTCAAAATCTAGTAATTAGTACTAATATTTATATTTATATTACAGCCATGGGAAGAAGGGCTTGAGTTCCCCAAAAAATTTAGTCAATTTGYGCCTATGATTAATTACATCAAGGTTGAATAATATAATTGAGATTATTTATATAAATCTTTGTTAGTTATTTTTGAACAGGATAATCTTAACATAAATAATAAATATGTTTTTGGTTGACTAGAAAATTTTTATTCTGACTAATAAATTATGATTTTGTTAYGTTTATAACATTTATTTATTATTGCTACAACTTACAACTATAGGCATGTTGTCTAAGGTCAATAATGCACATCAACTGGTTTTTATTTTTAATAGTTCATAGACAAAGTTCAGTGCCTCCAAAAACATATTTAYGAATCATAGATTTCCTTTGCAGAAGAAAATATCATATATTGTTATGTATATATTTTTTATCTTTCAATAAACAGAGGAAATGTAGAATTTTAAAAACTAAATTATAAAGATAACTTAATATAAATTGTAAATAAATTCAAAATTGTTTGCTCACAAATCATTTATTCCATATGTTTTATCCACCAATGTTTTCCATTTATTATCTTGTGTTTTTTCAATTTCTTGTGAAAGAATTTCACATCGTTCCCTTAATATTTGTTCCTCCATTTCTTTGGCTAAATAAAAATTATTTCTATATTCATTTTTAAAATATGTATAAAATTATTTTTCCAACTTACTCTTTAGCGTTGTTTGAAGTTTTGCAATTTCTAGTTGAAATCTTTGTCTTGTATTTTCAAACTCCTGCTTAAGTTGGCTTTCAATCTTTTCTCTTTGTATTTCTAGTTTTCCTTGTTGATCCATCTATAAATGGTGGAACATTTATTGATTAAAGTTATAATAAAATTGACAAKCATTAAATTTGAYACACACTTGTTGAGATAATAATTTATCAAGGTCATAAAATTTGTCCGCTAATTTTTTTTCCGCTTCAATTTTCACTTTACTGATTTTTCTTTCTTGTTCTGTTTTAAGTTTCAATACTTCTTTTTTGGGTACATAATCTTTGGTAATTTTTAATTGTAATTCTTTCAGTAATTCCACACTTGAAGCACATGACTGATGTGCATTAACTTCTAAGGATAAAAGTCTAACACGTTCATCAAGTTCTATTCGTCTATCCTGTTCTAGTTTTAAYTGTTCTTGTAGCTGTTTTATCTGTAAATAATAAAATACAGTAGCTTAAAAAAAGATAAATGTAAAACCTAAAATATATTTTATTTGTTCTTAAATACTATGTTTACAAATTGTAAAGGTATACCTACATTATGATAAGAAATATAATATTATACTTACAATGGATTTGCTATCCATTATACACATATCATCAGTTTGATCAATACAATTRCCAGAATCAAGTTGCTAAAAAAAAGAAATGTTTAACGACAGCACATTTTTTAAAATTATATTTAACCCACTATTAATCGCACCATGATAAAAACAATCGTACTAAAAAAACTTAAAAAACTATAAAAACTAACCTATCCTAACCTAAACTTTTAAAAATAACATAATATTCTGAATAAATTAAAATACTCATCCATATATTAAGCTAAGATAGAAGTGAGATATTATTCATAATATAAATTTACATCATTTAAATAACTCGTACACCTATTTTTAGAAATAATATGAAATTTATATATTAGGAAGTAACTTCAGAATTTTTTTTTTTTTTATTATATGGAATATTAATTTGTTTTGATAAAATTAATAAACATGTATGAAACAATGGTTTTAATTATTGAAAATTATAATGTGGTAAAAAAAAGACTACAATGTAACTAATGATATAATATAAACTGGTGTGACTAACATTGGGTCTAATAAGACTTACAGTTAATATTTCTATTGAGTTTTTTGCACTGTTAGAATTACGTTCATTGTTAATTTTATCCATAATCTGTCAACAAAATTAAATATAGATATAGACAGTATATTTATATGATGTCATTAAAACRGTTTTATATACATAAATATCTTAAACGGTTAGTAAGAAGTCAAGTATCTTTGAATTTCAAATTGTTTAAATGATACAATTTATACAGTATTAAAATAATGATTTTATGATACCTCTTTATTTATTTTCTTGAGATATTGATTTTCTTTGTCTAAATTTGATGAAGCCAGTTCAAGCGTTTGAATCCTGTTTAAAGTTTCTGTGTATTTAGCATCTAATTCATCTAATTGTTCCTCAAGTCTCTTAGTTATTTCATTTTTACTGGAAATATCTTGTTTGAGGTTTTCCAACTTGTATTTTAACAGCTCTGTTATTTCTTTATAACCAGATGATTCTTGTTGTAATCTGTCTTTATCAATAGTTACTCTCTTTAGGTATGCTTTAAGAGATTCAGTTCTCTAAAAAATAAAGTACCTATGTTTAGATATTTTCAAATAAAAATAATAATTATTTAGTATATTATTATTAATTAGTTAAGATCTACTTTTAAAGCATATCTAGTGCGTTTATGTGTTCCATAAATATCCTCATGACTAGTTGAAAATGATATTGTATTTTCTGTATCGGAATTATCTGATGTATAATGTTCTTTAGACATTCCTTCTGCCAAATCGCATAAAGACAAAATTAAATACAGTTAAATATTTTATTATATAGTATATATTATAAAGAATTATCCATTTCGGTGGTACAACTAAGAATTGTGTGTGTGTAAAAGAAGAGGGTTCAAATTTATTTTTCATTAATATGCATTTAAAATTATAATATAAAATATTATAAAAAATATTAATTATTAGGCTCTCAATATAAAAATTTACCAATATTTTATTTTCTACAAAACCTGGGCCCTGGGATATATGTAACATTATAATTATTGTATCACATAATACAATTTATATTTACAGTTTACATCTCCTACTATTAACATTATAAAACCAGTTTTATAGGTAATAAGTTATTACTAATAACAGTTAATTTGGTTTAGTTTAGTGTCGCTTATGATCAGTGGTCGGGACGCTACTGGTTTTTTGTAGCACGCTAACGATACTCCCCTCAAAAAAGTAGCTCGCTATTGATAAAGATACTTTTTTTTAGTGAAGAACAATTCCTTGGAAAACATGACACCATAATTTGAGCAACTGAAGATAGCAATGGAGTTATAATGTATAAAACAATCCACATAGTAGACAGACTAAAAGAGTTCTTGGAAACTGTATGATGATGAAAAATGAAAGAAACTATAAGATATTGAGATTTGAATTTTATAGAGCATAACAATATTTAAAGAACAAAATGATAGGAATTGATTGCATACAGGCATTTTAAAAGAAGTAGAATAAACAATTCTAAATGAGCCATTAAACATTATCAAATTTTGAAGAAAAACTACCAGATGATTATGTTAAGAGTCTAATAACCCTTAGACTGAAAAGGGAAGGAAAAAAGAAATGTGAATAATTTAGAACCATCAGTTAACTATCACATGCTTAAAAAATACTGACAAAAAGCTTGTACAGAATGTAAATTAATAATCAAAATCGAACAATTTATACCAATTGAACAATTTTTGGCTGAAATAATATTGAAAAGTAGGATTATATTACTACATGGAAGTGAAAAGTAGATGAGGTATTTGAAATATAGTGTTACAGAAGATTAAGAATAAGCTGGACTGTGAGAAATTCAAATTAAGGAGTGTTAAATAAAATATCGGAAAGAAGAAAATTATGAAAATTTTGATAATGCAATACATTATGCATGAAGGTCTGTTGAAATCAGTATCCCTGTATCTATAGTCCTGGACACGATAAATGAGCGCTATCCCACATGGCTTGTCATTCATATCCACCATTGTACCAGCGTACTGGCCATTATACATATAAAAAAGTATTATCAGTAATTTGTCAACCACTACCAAAAAACTGCTAATTGGTGCATGATGGTCAGCGCTAATTTTTTGTGTCTAGCTTATGTGGCAGCAACATAATTATCATAATGGGTGTGGTGGGTGAATAGATATTAAAAAATAATAAGATTAKAGTATTTTTTGTACCATATATTATTTACTATAAGAAAATTTGATAACTAGTATGATCTATAAGAGAATAGATAACTATATAAAATTAATTATATAGATATTAGTTTGCATCATAGAATTTTTAAGACTTAGGCCCAGTGATTTAAATTGACTACAAAAGGAAGTGTTGAAGGGATGAATGGTATATAAAAACATTAAAAACCTAGGCTAGAGTATATAAAACAGTTGTATTTACAACTGAAATGTGAAGACAGAAAAGCTGTAAACCAATCCAAAAATTGACCACAAGAGATAGATAGAAAACCCTAGTGTGGTACAAAAAAAACATTTAAATTTTAAATTTTGTTATTACCAAGTATTATACTGTAAAGAGTGGTGTATAGAAAATAATTCATTGATTCATTTTGGTATAAAATGGTTATTATAACAGAAATTAAATAGGTATGTGTAAAAATAATATATTGTCCCAAACTTGTATTGAAAATCAAAATTTTATCTAATTAACAATAGTGTAAGGAAATGTTTTAGCAAAAGGTATGTAAATATGTAAAATGTTCAAAAACTATTTCAAAACTTTGAAGGTAAGTCATCAAAGAAAATATTTCAAAATAATAAGTCTTAYAATAAATTCTTTATGTCAATAGTACATAAGTACATATTTAAATAATAGATTATATTTACCAGGAGTTGACTTAGATTTTGGTAAACCAATTTCTTCAGATCTGAAATTTACAAAGAAAAAAGTGAATAAACAATATATTTTTTATGCAATAAAAATATTTCTTGTAGACTAATCAATTAAGTATACATTTAATTCAGAAATATTTGATTGAATTCGTTACTTAAAAACAAAGATAAATAAATAGGTAATAAGATAGGTTGGATATAATTTTTTTTTTTTTTAATAAATCAAAAACAGCAATTGAAAATAATATTGTGTTGTTTTTAAAATAAAAACTTACTCGCTATCAGATTCACTTAAGTTCCGAATAACAGTATCTTGTTGCACTATTTTATCATTTTTTTTATTTGGACTGTACCAATAATGTGGACCCTCGTCTTCAGATGTTTCACTGTCTTTGATATCTAAATGACTATCATCATGATGTTCATCATGAACTTTAGGCATTCGCATGGATAATAAAAGGCTTCTTTTTGAACGTAAACTATCATCACTTTGACTATCTGAATCTCTCTGCTGATTCTCGGTTATATCATAGTTATGTTTTAATTCCAAACACAATGACTTAGAACGTTCAAATTCTAAAGAATTTTTTTCAACATTTTCAATGGGTATTTGTTCATTAAAAGATTTGCTTTTACTAAATGAAGAATGTGCAAAGTTCATTTCTGGACTAAGCTGATATAATGCCTTGTTTACATCTGATGGAACAGTGAGTTTAAAAGTACTCAGTGAAGTGAAAGACTTATTCCTTACATGTTTTTTAGTAGTAGTATCATCAATGATATTGTCTGCAGATGCAGAAACTCTATTTTTTGTCTTGTTCATTAACTTAGTAGTTATAAAATTATAAAATGTATTCATTTTTTTATTTTCTTCTTCTTTCTTATCATTTACAGCTGGACAGGATTGATTTGGATCAGTTGGAAGGCTTTCATCACTTCCCCATTCCAATTCTGAATCATCTGTGTTTACTGCACATACTATTGGATCAGGGATTTGTTCAATATTTTCTTGGATTTCTTTTACAGCTTTTTCATTGATATCAGTAGTGTGTATTATGCTTGTTTGTATAAAATCCCAACTTCTAGGTGGATCTAATGGTGGAGGCATTGTGCATTGAGATACTGATTCTTCATCTTTGTTGGGTATAACATTCACTATAGATGTATTTTTGGTTTCAACAATTAATTTATTTTTCTCAATTACTTCTTTGTCTGTTTCTATAGAGCTATTATTTATTTCATTTTCATTATCTAGAGAGTTCAAACTTACAATTTCTTTTACACTCTTATTATTTTCATTATTTAATTTGTTTGTTTTTAACTCACCAAGATGAATTATTTCACATTTTAAAGTCAAATTTTCATTTTTATTTTCTACCTCTTGAATATCCATATTTTTAATTTTTAAGTTGTTATCATTTTCAACTGKAGAATTAAAAGCCACATATTCTTTTTCATTTTGATTATCTTTGATATTTGATTTTGTTATTTTGTCTTCTTTTTTAAGTACTATAATTTGAGCATCAACAATTTTCTGATTATTTGAATCATCATTATTTTCTTGTAATTGAGCAGTATCATTTTGGTCCAAATTATCCAAATTATCCAAAACATTTTCTTTAGATCTAGTTCGGGCCATTACACTCATTTTTTGCATAGATAGTTGATTCACTACTTTAGAATGACCTTCCTTAGCCGCATAATCTTTTACAGATAACCCTAAAATAAAACAAAAAATTGTTAATATAACCTATAATAATAAATATTTTTAATTGAATTACCATTTATATCACAAGCATCCAGTTGACTTCCTCGATCCAATAACAGGTCAACAATAGACATATTTCCAAGTTTTGCTACTAACATTAATGGTGTACGTCCTTGTTTGTCTGCTATGTTTATTAGTGCTCCATTATCTAATATAAACTCTATTAGATCACGATTTTCAGCAACACATGCGACATGTAAAACGGATTCACCTGCCTAAAAATATTTTTCTCAAATTATTTAGGTATAAAATATAAATACAAATCTAATGATACTTCTCAAATGTTATTTATTTACAAAGTATGCTCTGTTTCACGAGAGAAAGGTACCATTTCATGTATGCCGACTGAGCTCCACACAGCTGCTGAACCATCAAAACCCCTCTTTTTGCAATTTGAACATGGACAGGTATGTGTTTAATCACTAATMCACCCATGTGCATCGTTAGAGACTAGCTCYCATGTACTGGATAGTAGTGAGGTGTGGGAATTTGCAAGAAAGATCGGATTTGGTCAAGGCGCGGTACCTTTCTCTCATGAGACTCGAGTATAGATGGGTTAGTAAAAAAATGACAACCATAATATAATGTTAATAAATATAAAAATTGATGTTACATTAAATTTAATAAAATAATAGAAGCTGATAATAATTAACACATAATTAATTAATTAACACATGATTAATTAAAGAAGTTGTGCCCTGACCCTGGATAATATTCTTACCTTTAAATTTTATAACACGAGACTTTAATATTTAAAATAAAAGGAAATTGGATTCTATAAAAGAAAACATTTTCTATGAAATGCATTAATAAGATAGAGCACAACGTCCTCTTAATAGCAGACACTTTATGGTTCATAATACACCATTTGAGAAACATTTTGTTAGTGTTAAAAAGCCATGTTAGGTTACTTACAGCATTTTGTGCATTTATATTAATTCCTTTTTTAAGTAGCATAGATATAATAGTGAATGAGCCCTGTTTTGCAGCTAAGTGTAAAGCAGAATTTTTATTTGTGTCTGTGCATGTTACATCTGCCCCTCTCTCCAACATTAAATGAACACATTCTTTTTGGCCGCATTCTACAGCCTACATGTGCAATGTTATTTTACTTATATTGATAAAATTACACATAGTAGATAGCTACTATGTATACATTGTGTTTAAACAATWACTAATAGTTATAGATAAAATGGGTATATTAATTATATGACTTTGAAGAATCTATTTATATAAATCAACATCAACTAAAACACTTTTGTAACATAATTAGTATTGTTACAAAATTCAAATACATGATTATCCACACTAATTTTGACCGAGGGGGGTGTGGATAATTAAATGACTATTAAAAATAAAATAAAAATCTAATTTATTATATATAAGTATATAACGTACCTTTAATATGATATATATTGTTTATATTATTCATTATTYATATTTTAATATTTATATATTATAAAAAGTAGGTAAGTATGTATTTAGTTATTAACTGTAACTTAAAATTTAAAAAAAGGTAATATTTATAAATATTATAAAAATTTAGTTAAAAAAAAAGTAAAGTTTTGGAGTTCAGATAATAGACGTTCTATTGTAACAAGAAAATAATAATAAACCAACAGTGCTGCAGAAATTATATTTTCATTTATTTATTTTCAAGCAATCCTATAGCGTAATGAAAACTGTCTCTGTTATGTATGTTTTCCAATTTTTAATTTTATTTTGTGAAGTATCTAATTGTAACTACTTGTTAAAAAGATATTTAAAATCAATCTAATATGCTGATGTGTTGGACTTCTTGAAATTAGGTAAAAATTGAATACTTAGTTAATTCTATGTAGGTATTCCCTTCACCAAAAATACTTGGTTCTTCAAAGTCATTGTTATGTAAAAATTACAAACTACCACCAAATTCAAAATAGTGATACCTTCAAGAACGGTGTGTACCCATCGCAATCAACATAATCTAAGCTAGCATTGTGATTCAACAGCACCCAAGCAATGTTATAGTAACCTTTGGCCATTGCCAAGTGCAATGGTGTTCTGTCAAAGCTGTCCACTGTGTTCACGTCCATTGGTTTTTTTTGCAACAATGTCTTGACTTTTTCTAGGCTGCCATGCCATGAAGCCCTGTGTAATCGGCTCAATTTATCCTCAGCTTCAGAGTCAATTTTATAGCAATATATTGTACTGTCCGGGTCGTCTTCTAGTTCATCACCTGAAGGTGTGCCAGAGCCACTTTTATCCTCCTTTTTCCCCCCTTTCACCAATTTCAACATTTTCTTCATTTTGACTGTGTTTGTTAGCGTGTGCAATATTACAATATTATACTGTTATACGAAAATCTACAAGAGTACCTAAGAGGTGCAACCAAATTAAATTAAATTATTAGCGTTAGAAAATTATTCAAATTTACAACTCTTATCATGTRTGTGCAGTTTGTTTATTTTGCTGTTTCAACGACCACCTCGCGAGGTGACGAAAAATCAATAAGATACTACCTTTGGTACGCTATCCGCAAAGTTTTCATGAATGATATACAAATTACACGACAGACCACAGACGTATTCGATTTACGAACGGGTGCCGTTCTCAAATTGTGTTTTGGTGAAGCGTAATGTATAATATTTTCAATTTCAAAACTAGAAATATAGAATGTGGACATAAATATCTAATTCTAGACTCTGGTATTAATCAACAACCGACTAATGAGTAATGACTATCAAAGTTGAAAGTATCAACATTCAACGTAAAGCGCGGGCGCGCAGCGCTATGTCTAGGGCATCTAGGCACACCGCACACATCCCCAATATGTTACCCGGTTACCGCCTGGCGCGCAAGACGCAGACGGCAGACGGCAGACCCGGCCTAGAGCAGGCTGATGTCGCGTTACTATCGGTATGAGTACAGTATCGATATTTTCTTGTGAGTACTTTCGGTATCGACTATAAATACGATACTTTAATTGGATCGAAAGAAAATATATAAATAGTAAATACCACGGACTACTACAGTAGTAAATACCTACTCGTATCGAATCCATAGAGCAATACCACAGAATATCGGATAATTTTTTATTTTGTTATCACTCATCATAAACCTCGTACGATTTAAGATAATATAATAGATTATAGATATGGTTTCAAATTTCACTTTATACTTTTGAATTTTCTTCGAGCAATTAAACTTTTAAATTAAACTCTTAGGTATACTCACATAATCACATATTATTATATTAATATTATATATGTTGATTTGTATGTGTAATTCATTGTATATTCTTCGATTGGTGTAAAATATGATCAACAATGCGTTGAACTTGAAACAAGTGAGTAAATATTAATTTTATCAAATTATTTACGTTACCTCATTCGCCTTATCCGTTGGTAACTATTTCATTGTAAATGGATTTACTACATATTCTTTGGCACCTTTTAATTACCAATCACTGAAATTTTATTTACTATTATAGACAGTTCAGTTTATAGTAAGTTGGTAAGATGGTTCTCAAATAAACTTCCGCTATTTGGAGTGCTACTACTCTATTGAGAAAAGTTAATTAATTTCACTACCTGATTGAGCACAAATGAATCGCAGTAAAATAGTCTGAAGCATAAAAATACCGGAGAATATTATATACATCACAATATTTAAAATAATTTGTTGAAAAAAAATCCAATGATTATAAATTATAATTATGTTCTTAATATCATTACTTATTTAAAAAATTGAAACTATTATTCATACAAAAAAAAAATATACATCATTTATCATAATGATTCAAGTGAAAAATTCAATAATTATTGTTTATCTAGTAGTGTGACATATCAGTTTAGCTGACTGTCGTCAAAAAMATAATATTTTTTAAAAAAAATTYCTATATTAGGTATATATGTATAAAAATATTTCAAAAACAATTTATAATTATGTTTATCTAAGCCTTGTTCTGATATTATGACCAACTGAATTTTTTTCTTCAAAAGCAAACAACTAACAAATTAACAAAATGTCAAACTAAACTAACAAAATTTCAAACTATTCTGATAAAAATTACAACTATTCAGTTATCAATGCACAATATATACACAGTGGACATACCTATCATCCTAGATGTCTCTATCTATATTAAATATATTGGATATTTAGACTATACGAGTAAAATTCAACAAATCAGATAATTAAGATAAAAGAAGTATTAGGTATTTGATTATTACATGCAGCCAAAAGTTAAGCAGTGTTCAAAGTCCTAAAAAGTAGTTATTGGTATACAAGATTATTTATTAATTTTGACAGGTAAATAATTTGGTTATAATTTATATAAATATTAAATACTAATTGAAAGTTTGATTGTATATCAYATTGTATTTTTCATTTTACCTAATTATATGTACTGGACCTTTTATGTTTTGGAATTTTTCACTGCTTACTTTTTACATCTCAGAATTTTTAACCACAGACGTTTTTACTCAGACTTTTTTACCTCAACATTTTTGGTATTATACCAGACAAATGCAGTCAAATATTGGATAAAATATGACATTGATTTATTGACCACAAAAATATGTACAGKCTTGATGTTGTTATTAACATAATTCAGTATTAATATCTTTTATACCAAAATTATAAAATGTTATGGTAAGGTGAAGTAAACAATGAAATTTAAAAATGATACTTATTTGCCACTTTTCATATATTTCATAATAATATTGTAATTTTTGTCTGTCAAAATTATATAAACTGTTTATAAATGTCTTAAAATATATASATTATATAAATAACATATGTTAAAATGGTGTTCCTAATTAATCATTTTACACTATTAAAAAATATTTTATTAAGTAATTTGTATTTAAAAAAAATATTTATCGTAGACTATAATTGACAGTATTGTCACTATGGTTCTTTTTTTTTGTTTTTGATTGTTAGTTTCTATTGATTGAATTATCTTTAGATATAATATAGAGGCTAACTGAATATCTCCAATCAAAATCATATTTTGCATTCAAATATTTATTATTCAATTCAAATTTTACACATTCATTACAGTTTTCTACTCAATAATAAGTTACTCTCAATGAGACAATGAATAGTTGCCATATGCAAATTTTTGAATTTTGACGACATTCTACTATAACTCTATTTGAGTACTAAATGTTAGCAGAAGAAGAAGATAAACATTTTATAAATTGAGAAAAGTTCTTGATTCTAAAATATGATATAAATTAGTTTATATGGTGTAGTTTGAATATTTATCATTAACTGATTACTAACTCTTATTGTCAGGCCTAAGTCTGTCTATAACAGACAGCAGTATATTAAAAGTTTAATAACTAAAGTGTTGTGTATTTTTATGTTCTAGTTTATGCTACGTCAGAAGTCATTAAAATTGTACAAAGAATTTTTAAAAACAATCAAAAATATACCATTAGAAAGCGATAGACAGCAATTTATTAATTGGGTAAAAGAAGATTTCAAAAAAAATAAATTTGAAACTGATGAGGTGTGTTTTAGTTTGTTTTCTATACATAACTGTTGAAATTTAATTTATCAAAACTTAGTTCAGTTATTTTAAATCTATTTTATATTTGCAAAATATCTATCATTAGTATTTAGTTGATCGAATTTGCAAATCGTAAATACAAATTTTATTTGATTTCTTTTCGTAATACACAAGAATTATATATATTTATAAATTTTTTTAATAGTAAAAGCAGTAATGCGTATTGTTWTTTTTAGTTATTTTTATATATTTGTCTTTAGTTTACTGTTCTGTTATATGTATAAGTATAATATAGAAAAAAATAAATTACATAATTTGCATCAAATAAGATAAATACAATTATAAACAGTTAACACTTTTACCATTTGTTTTTTTAAAATTATTTTTGTGTCAATGCATAATATTTATAAAATATTAGTTGGTTTTTAATTTATTATCGTTTTATTTCGAGTACTGTACATTTTATTTATTATTTATATTTATTGAATTTTTAATTTTATAATTCAATCATAATTTTATTTTCAGTATTCTATTAAAACATTACACAAATATGGTGAAAAGTCATTGACGGATCTAAAACTCAATTTGGCCCTCAGTAATACAAAAATATCGTGAGGACAAGGTAATTATGGAATTTAAATCTCATGCTGAATCTGGATTACAACTTTTGGAAAGGCTTGTAGCTCGGCCGGTTATTAAAGATTTAACACCTTTATTACCAGATGAATTGACTAGTGAGACTATAGAAATAATTGGATATGCATCAACAGGAAAAACATTATTTTTGACCGAATGTATTGCTAAGTGCATCATCCCTCAAAATGCGGGTGGATTAAATACAGGTGTCGTTTACATTGATCTAGATGGACAATTCAATATCACCAAACTAGTTAAAATCATTAAGCGTTTAATTAAGAACACAGATGATAATTTAGTAAAGACCTACTTAAATAAATTAACATTGATCAACTGYTATGATAGCCCAACTTTGTATGTTACTTTTCAAAGGTTAAAACTATTTCTCACTGAACAATCTCAAGTGGGTTTGGTTATTTTAGATAGTGTTTCTGCAAACTATTGGCAAGATTCAGTATCTGGTGGTGAAAAGTATATGGATACATATGTTGAGAAAATCATATCATCATTGAAAATTTGTTTAGAAGATTTTAAAGTACCTATTATGTTTACTAGACAAAGTTATTTTCAGTCCAAACAAGGTGATTCTTTATTAGACTGTGTAAATCGAAGAATTGTGTTCAAAAAGTTAGGTTCTGATTTTTATGCAACTATTGCGAGACAAAATGTAAACCTTTGTTATAAATTCAAAATTAATGAACAGGGAATTAGTGAGTTTAATTTACAAGTGTAGTTTAATATTAAATAATATAGGTATATAAACATATAATTTAAAATTGTAAATTATTATTTAAACTTCTATGTTAAGTTATCGTAAAATTATTGAATAAAATTGATATAATACAATTTTACATTATTTATTTATTTGAATTTTCTCCATAGGTTAAACTACAAAATGGCACTAAACGTTAATTTAAAAAATATGCAAAATGTTGACCAGATTATTAAATATGTACAAATTGGTTGTGTACCAGAAGTATCAAACAATGAAAATGATTTGACTAATCATGATTCTACATTATTGGTTCATTTAAAAAATGCTAAATCTATTTTTAATGAACTTATAATTTTATTGAGTAAACAAATAAATAACGAAGTAGACCTTCAAATTAAACTTCAGGACATAATCAATGCTTGCTTATACTTATGTGGTGAACATTGCAAATCAAATTTTCCTTGGAGTGACGAAGAAAGCCATACATTAATGAAATTGTGTATTGAAAAACTGTGCTGTCTTATGCATTATGTAAATATTGAAGAATTGATTACTCATTTAGATGTCTGTAAAATTTTTGGTGGTTTGCAATGTAAATTAGAAAATGATAATTGGAAAAAATATCCGGCTGCTGTTGAGTGTTTTATGTGGATTTTGAAATACTTAAAAGTAAGTTAAAATTATAAAAGATATTATGTAACATTTTTCTTCATTTAAATGGATGTTATATCTACATGGTGTTGTCTAAMATGGAGTTGTCCCGTCTTATAATTGTAAATGGCAAATGTGTTTGTTTCAATTTAGGGATGAATTGACCCATTTTTATTGTTATATAGGTAAGAAATTTATCTAGAGCATGTCATAGGCTTTTATCAATATTTACATTTTGAAGTGAGTTATATAACTATATCATAAAAATTTTAATTTAAAATTAAAATTGCCTTTAAATGCAATTATAAATAAAATCMTTTGCCCTTTGCCATGTTTTAAATAATATTCTTACCTTTAAATTTGGCAGTAGTCCAATTCACAAAAATACTGAAACCAACAATGAAAAAATGTAGATTTACTTTGTTTAACATTTGAAAGACATGGAGCTGGAGTGTCCTATTTATTAAAATGTACAACATATTTTATGTTCTAGATGCCACATTTGAATTCTTTATTATACTTGGTTATGCCGTTACCATTAAATATGTTTGATGATTACCAAGATTCAAGTGTAAATACTGCCTTAGATGCTTTTAAACACATCATTGATAATACAGTTA